TGACACAACGTAGCCGAGAAGATGCCAGGAGCACCGCCAGGGTAAGAAACACCGAGCCGCACACGCAGAAGGGGAGGGGAGAGGCGAAAGAGGCGCCCCGCACCCATAACACGGAGAAAACCCCAGCGTCCGCCCCATAACCGCAACTCAGAACACCCCAGTAGCTACGGGGTAAGGACTGGAGAAGCGAGAAGAACGAGAGACGAAGCACCCGAGAGAAAAAGCCGCAAAACACGAGCACTCGTGCACACCGCCCAGATCAAAACAAACTCCCACAGCGCACGTGCACACTTCGTGTGCGCACTTTGGGCGCACTTCCCGCTTGGTGGGAAGGCGCCCAAAAAGACCACTGCACAAGTAGCCCAAACAGCCCGTGACCCGAGGGATGGGCGCAGGGGCAGAAACAGCCCAGCGGACAGGAACAGGAGTGAAAACAGGAAGCAGCGACATACATATCCGGTGAATGTAAGGAAGACAAGGAACGAATCAGCAACCCAATTGGGCTACAAGTAGCCCAAACTGGCACCCAGGATAAGGAGTATGTAAAGAAAACGAACAGTGCCGAAACCAAGGACGAAGGAAAAAAAAAAACAGAAACAAAAGACCGAAAACAGGACCGAAAACCCAGAACAAACCCGGAAGGGGACCAACAAGCCCTGAAAAGACCAGAGGGAAGCAACACCAATAGACGCCAGACGTTCCAACAATACGGGAAGTAGCAAAACCCTTCCCGAACGCACGAAGGTTCATAAAAGCACAGTCGCACCCGAGACCAAAAGTCATTCAAAACCCCCCCAAAAGAAAAGGGGAACATGACAGGGAAGTCCCGTCCCAAGAAGAGGGGTGAAAAAACCGCAAAGAGCACCCACGAACAGGACAGAACCAACGGACTCAAGGAACAAGGAACTGAGCCCGGGGAGGGGCCAACGCCCAACTAATCGTACAAGGAGTGGAGGGGGGAAGAAAAATCCCCACCCCCCATAACCGCAAGCCCCGCTCGAAGGGTAGAACTACCCTGGCGGGGACCAACGGGGCCTGGGGTCCCCCAGGCAGCCCCTCCCCAGACCCGGGAACCCACACATCAGGCCCCGGGGCCGAGCCGTCCCCCCAAAGCCCCAGCGTCAAGAAAAACCAGGGGAGCCGTGAAAAATACCAAGGAAGGGAGCCCACTGGCAGACTCATACAACACGGCTGGAGGAACAGGCTCGAATGCCCCCGTCGGTATCCCGGAAGGGGAATTCCCCGAGACTGCCCGAGTCTCAAAACCATCAAAACCCCGCCCCGACCCCGAACCCACAGACGGTAAGGACCCGGATGCAGAGATGAGAGGAGGGGAAGACAAGGGGGCGTGGAATGAAAACGAAACAACCAACACCCCCAAGCCCCGTCACCAAAACGGGGCTTCTGGGGAGCAACCTAGAGCGTTGGCAAACCGAAACACGATGCGTAATGCCCGTGCTTCTTGCACCCATATAAGTCAGCATAAGACTGGCTCAGCAAGCCACAAACAAGGAACAAAGCTCATAGGGCTCCGGGTCGAAGGTGCCACCGACCCCACAGGCAGCAGACGGAGGCAAAACAGTGAGTCACCCTGAGACAAGGGGACAGAGCAACCCTCGAACTCACACAAAGCAAGGGGGAAACCCCGGAGTCACATCCATCGGACCCACACGTCCCCCGTGGGGATTCCCAGGGTCCTGAGTGTTTACTTTAAGAGGACTCGCGCCCAAGTAAACCCAGGCAGGGTACTGCTAACCGGCACCCAAAACTACCAAACAACCTTCTAAGAACTGAACCCCCCGGGACATGTACACTCACGGGGACCTAACAGGGGGAACCACCGGAAGAAGGAAGAGTACTCAGAACACAGGGGGCAAGAACCAAGGCAGATCCCCCACCAGGCAGAAAAAGAAAACCCCACAAGAGGACAGCGTACCCAGGCGGAACAGAGACGGCCGCTATGATAAGTGAAAACTTGCTGCGCAGTACCCTGCGCCCCGCCAGTGCAAACTGCCCCCTACCCCAAGGCGAACAAGGGAGACAGAACACCCGAGCACACAAGGGGCGGCCGAAAACCAAGCAGTAAACGGCCTAGCAGGGGCAGAACCCAAGGAACTTGTGGAAGGGAACCCCAAGCCCCAAGGGCAGTACTTACAGTGCACCTAGGGAAGGAAACCCTAGGCGCATGCAGCCCGAGTACTGAAGAAACACTCCCGGCTCACGCACCACCTAGAAGACAGACACCACACTCTAGGTACAGTGCTGAAACAACCACTGGAGCCGGAGCACATGACCTCAGCCATTAGCATCAGCCTTAGAACTGGGGGTGAATAGCCGGCGCGATGGGTCTGGGGCTCCCCCTTCCCCCTCCGGGGGAGAGGGGAGCTGCGCGGACAGCGGCGCGGCGACGTGTGACGTCATGATTGTTTGCTCGTTTATTTTAGGGGAGTTCTATCCACTTGTTCGGCTTGTGGTAGCAATTTTTACCAGAACAGGGGTTTGTTTTGGGACGATTACCTTTCTGGGTGCCTAACCCGGTCGATGGCAGACAGAATGCTTCCAACCACACGGGGGGTTTCTATAGGCCATTGCTCCCCTTGCCTCTTCTGAGGGGGCCAGGTTCTGGCTCGTGGTCCCCGGTAGGCCCACAGAACTCCATACACATGACTGATGTCAAAGTCTGACATTAGCATATCAGCCTAGTAAGCTCCGGGGAGCCGAAAGGGCTACCCTCAGAAAACAAGTCAGGAAGATGACGCAACCTCCCTCATCAAAATGGCTTCTCCCAACACTCACTTTGCTGTCATTACAATATATATACACATAATATATAAGTATCTACATTTGTGTTCCTTATAACGAACCACTAAGTTGGTATGCTGAGTGGCAGTGGCAGTGGCAGCCAGTGGCAGCCTGCCACTGGCTGCCCTCCCTCCCTCCCTCACCTCACAGTACTCGCCACCATTCTCCTCCCACCATACTGTTTTTGCTTTTATATACAGACGTTATATATAAGTATCTGCATGTTTTGTTTACCATAGCGAACAACTAAGCTGGTATAGTGAGTCCAGACAGTAAAAGGTGGTCACACAGAGTCAGCAGACAATGCTACCTCTCTCCCCACCAAGATTACTCCTCCCACTACAGCGCTAATTATCACAACAATCCTGCTATTATCAGAATCCTGGTCATTTTTATCACAGTCAGGGGTCTTCTGTAATAATATCATTGCTAAATAATAGCATGAACATGTATATTATGGCATTTTTAGGTGATGCTGTGGTCACAAGCTGAACAGCAGTGCTGTGAGCTCATGCTGCGTGCATCAGGCTTGGTAGCTCACTCAATACTGAGGCCCCTCACACCCGGGAATTTGACCCACGATTTTGTTTTTAAATGGCGTCTGTTTACAAGAGCCCTGATGAATGAGAGGTGAACCCCGTGTATCCGCGGGCCGTTTAAATCTTATGTAGTACTCCAACACATCATATGACGTGATGCGCAATTTTGGGTAAGTTACTCAACACGTCATATGATGTGTTGCGCAGTTAAAGGGTTAATGAACGCTTTCTTATGGTATATATTAGGATTAAAAACTTTAAAAATTACACAGTGGAGATATCAGTTAAAAAAAAATCATTCAGCACAACTTGAAAGAGAAACACAAAATGTAGATCTTTTTTTTATTATACTAAATGTTTACATACAAAAATATAAACTAATCAAGATATGATGGAGAACATTAATTACAGTAACATTTCAGACCACAAAATAATATCCTGGCAAGTGCCAATGTAAGATTTATAAAAAGAAACTTCTGAGTATCCCTAGAGGAAAAATGTGCTGAACCATATATTTTGTAAACTACAGGATTGCTGGGAAATTTTAACTATAAAAATTTAGTCATGTGGCTTAAAATTGATGACACAGATCAGTGTGTACAGAGATTGGCTAACAAAATACAATCTTACTAGGCACTTGATAGTAAATTTATTACATGTACTGTAAACAAAGTTAATGTTTGTAGAGAAACAAAGTAATTTAACTTCAGTTGTTAACTTTAACCAAACATAATTCTTTTAGTTCTCTAATATCTTTTTTTTTAATATAATTTTATTTTGTTTATTTTTAAACTACTGTACAGTATTTCCTTTCTTATAATACATTCAAATTTTGTTTTCTTAGTTCTTAAATCCTTTTAATTTTCTTTCAATATATTCTAATTTTATTTTTAGTTTTCTAAATTACAATATTTACTTTCTTTGAAGATATTCTGAAATTATCAAAATAAACTAATTCATACTGTCAGACACATTACTGAAAATAATACCCCCCCACATTACTGAATTCTAATACAGTATACATATTCTTTCATCAATGTATCTAAATTTACTGTTGTGAACAAATACAGCAGCTATACAATAAGATGAACCTAGATGTAGTCTAGTTCTTCTGGGATATTAAACTGCTTGTTCAAAACTTCTTCTTCAATATAAAACTTATTCTTGCACCAGCTCTTTATTGAAAAGATGTTCTCTGTCCAGCGGTTGGCAGCAACTTGAGCAACCTGGACAACATTATCAGTGAATTCTAGCAAATGTAAAAACTAGTTATAACTAAAACTAGTTATAAATATACATGATGTATAGCAACAATAATAAAGATCATTACAACATGATGATAAATAAATAAATGAAAAAAACAGCGTTGAATGTAATGAAACGCTATTTTCTGGGTGAGACCCTTTGGCTCCCCGGAGCTATTTGGGCTGATATGAATGTATTAGACCCCTGGCATCAATCAAGCAAATGGAGTTCTTGGACTTACCAGGGGACCACGACCCTGAACCTGACCCCCTCAGAGAGGAACGAGGAGCAATAGCCTATAGAAACCCCCATGTGGTTGGAAGCATTCTATGTCTGCCATTGACTGGGTCAGGCACCCAGAAAGGTAAGCGCCGCAGAACTAACCACTATTCTGGTTAAGAAATTGCTACTGAAACCCAAACTAGTGGACAGAACTCCCCAAACGAAAATGAACAAATGAGCATGATGTCACCACTTCGCTGTGCCACTGTCTGCGCAGCTCTTCCTTCACCGGAAGGGGGAGCCCTAGACCCCCACACCAGCTATCAACACCCCAGTTCTGAGGCTGGATGTCAAAACACGCAAAAAAATGCCGACTGGGAGGGAGGGAGGGTTGTTGGGGAGCCTCCGGGGTCTCACCCAGAAAATGGAGTTTCATTACAGTCAATGCTGGTTTTCTGGGGGGAGCCCCTTCGGCTCCCACGGAGCCACTTAACCAAAGATAAAAACAAGAGGGACTTACCCGGGAGGCAGTCGGCACTCGCTTCTCAACTCGAAGTCAAGACAACTGGCTGCAACCGCTGACCGAATGCGACAGAGGCCCGGCTAGGCCCAGGAGCATTGACAAGGTAGTGAGTGGCCAGGACCCTGTTTGATCTCCAAAACCCTGTTCCCGAATATCAGCCCAAGACATGTTACCAAAGACGGCAGCCAACGTAGCAAACTTACGAAAGTCGGGATAGACCGCAGGCTGGCTGGATCGAATAAACCTGTAGACGACTTGAGAGACCCAAACCCTGGAACAGGGAAGATTGGAAACCAGGTCAACCCAAAGCATGTCCCTGGCCACAAAGACCGTGGCGCACAGGTAACGGCATAGAGCCGTGACCAGGCACAACACACGATGCACCCTGGCCAAACCAACCAAGCAACAACAATCCAAGAACCCCTCCGGAAAGCAGCAGTCTCATTCTTCGCCAGAAAAGAAGGAGATGGCTGCAAACGAACAAACCTACCACCAGGACAGAAAGAGCAGAAACCCCTGCGCCAGAGGAGAGTGTGAAGCTCTATGACCCGATCCCCAGAGGCCAATGCCAACAAGAAAAAAGAGCCTTGGAGAAACAATCCTGAACCGAAGGGGCCACCACAAACCGAGAAGAAGAGAGAAAAGAGAGCACTCGATCCAAGGACCAGGATGGCTCAGGCGGTGCATGAGCAAGCCGGAGGTGGAACAACGCCTAAGACAGCTTGCAGAACGGCTCAGAAGTAACATCAAAGCCGAATGCAAGCTGCAGTGGCTCCGCCAACGCCGCACGATATGAGGCGACAGTATTTGGCATAAGATGACGGTCCTGGAACAAGCACAAAAAGAAGGAATGACAAAACAACCCGAACAGAGACTGAAGTAAACTGACGAATGGACAAGAAATACTGGAAGGATCGCCAGGAAACTTCATACTGCCACCGAGATGAAGCACGCAGGTGGGACACCATCAACGAAGCCACCTGATCACCATACAAGTGGTGATAGACTCAAGTCAGAAAGACCAGACGCAAAGACTCGAGGAGACGATCGAACCAGCCTCGTAACGGACTGGTCCGATCTGCTGAAAGATGCAGAGTCGCAGTAAGACCCCTGGGTTCGGACACAGAGCAAGCAGCACCTAAAGCCAAGGCTGGGCCAGCCACCAAGGAGCCAAGAGGACTACTCTCCCTTGTCAAGTCTCCAAATGAGCTAGGACCTGGAGCAACAGCTGAACCAGGGGGAAGAGATACAGGTAACCCCACCTCAACCCGTTTTGCCACAAGGATGGCCTCACAGTCAGGAAAGAACATATAACGGGAGACGCCTCAAGCACGCCGATGCAAAAAAGGTCCACTGCCGGAAGCCTGTATGTCCAGCAGAGCCAACTGAATGTGTTGGTGTCGACCGTCCATTCTGTGGACAGGGGAATGAACTGTGACAGGCAGTCCGCCAGGACACTGGACCACCCCCCCCCCCCTCTCCGAACGTGAACGGCCAGGAGAGCCAAACCCCGAGAACTAAGCAAACGAGTCACCCGAAGCGACCAGCCCAAAAAAGGCAAGTACCGCATTGAACCCCCTTGGTTCAGGCAATGAACCACCGGGGAGCAGTCTGAAGGGAGCTGGATTCTCGATCTATGAGTGACCCGAACCTTGTGAAGCGACATCCACACTGCCACAAACTCTCACATTGTGCTGTGAGCCCAACGGGAGGACGGACCCCACCTCCCCTGGCTGGCCTGGCGAGTACTGGTCACAAAGCCCCAGCCTTCTGACGCTTTTCTGGAGCAGCTGGAAAAGCAGGAAGGAAGGGAACAGGTATTTTGATGGAGCAAAATTGTGTGGATCAGGTATTTTGATGGGGCAAAATATAAGCAGGCACAAAAGGGATGAAATGCTACACCACTTGAAAGCATCAGTGATACTAGTACACATGTGGCTCAACCCACTGAAGGCTGCCGAGGAAAACCAGGAAACAAAGGTCTGGGTCTGAGTTACACTGTGCTTCCCAGCAGCATCTCCGATTTCCTTATCAATAAAATCTTAATCTTAATACTTACCAGGGTCTCCTCCTTCCTCTGGTTCAAGACTTCTGGGTCACAGTCACAGTACTTCTGTATTTCCTTGACTAGCTGGTCCTTGCTACTCTCCAGCTGTGAGAGACGTCCCAAAATCTCTTCACGATCCCCACTGTCTTCACGGCCCACCTGGTAGCATATGTTGAAGCAAAATGTCATTCAGAATTATTGATTTTATATTTAATAAAAAGTGACAAATTTCATATATGCTTTTTAAGAAACAGCATTTTTGAGTATAGTATAAGGAAGAGAAAGTTTGTTAACTTAAGTGAAAACCATTCTGTTCAAGTAAGTAATTATCAAAAGAAGGTGCCATGCCGGGAAGGGAAGGATGAGGAAGGTAATTTTGAAACTACATTACCTCCTTACATATCATGTATGATATTTAATATTAGAAACACACAACAAATATAATATACAGTATACAGATGTACTTAAATACGAGAGGTAACATCAAGTGAATGACACAACTACTCTGAATAACAGGGATCCGACCAAACCTCTAGGTGCACACATTACATTTATTTTAAAAACACAAGGAATCGAACATATAACACAGAATAATTATCATCTTGCTTAAGTGTAAACAGATCTTAGTGTCAATGGGAGAAAGGCAGAGATAAACATCACACTACAGAGGTGGGTTCCTTGGAAATGGTATTTTCCCCAAGGAACACACCACTTCTCTCAGTCGAGTCTAGCTCACCTCCCCATGTGGAGGAGGGCAGTGACATTACCATTGCAAAAGCACATGAAAGCTGTACAATATTAATATACATTCTCTCTCACTAATACACAACTCAACATACTTATAAACTGGCAAATGAAACAAAAATTAACACTGACAAAACTAAGTAACTGACAAATAATATTTAAATTTGACAATAAAAGCTAGACATACCACCTCGGCACCATTTGTCAGGTTTTACAGGAAATCAGTTTCTCATATATTCTTCCTTAAAGTCTCCAAGCTACACCTAACTGCATACCAGTCATTACAGTAGCACTCATTCTGTTCAAGTCATCCGACAGTCAATGGGAGAAATCTTATCCTAAAAATATATGTACTATACATCATCACAAGACAGGCTAATTTTACTGTAATGTTAAAACGTACTACTAATTTCAATTCTACTTAGGAAGAAAGAAATGGATCAGTCTAGACAAACTGTCCCATTCTCATTTGGTCAGCCATTGAAGCAATGCTACATCTGAGGGATCATGCCTAAAAGCCACTACAACAGAACTATGGCATGAGAAGCAACAATACTGTGTACAGCTGGTATGAAGGTGGTCAGAGACTGTCGTCTAAGGAGAAAGTCTGCATCACACTGTATCTCTGTAGAGAGGGTGGCAAGGGGCATTGTGTGGAAAAAACCCTGTAAAAAGGAGCTAGGGGTAGCATGACAAATAGTGCCAGCTATCCCATCCAAAAATGAGGAACCCACAGTTGATGATGTGATAATGCATCACTCATAGATGACTAAATGAACAGATCAGAGTTGCAGGTAACAGAACAGCATTTTTACTTCAATTCAATATAACATCTTTTTTCAAGGCTGGAGACTTCAACACACATTTCGTAGGTGATAGCCTCCAATGGGGAACTACTGAGTGTCAGAGTAGATGATACGCAAGTCTCTTAGTCATTCACATTAAAAGCCTACCTGGGATGAGAAGCCAAAACCTTGTCCCCTTTCCCCCCTCACAGAGATTCAGGGAATGCTAGATTACGCTAACCGAGAAATAAGCCACCAGATAAGTTTACTTATATATACTACAAGAGTTCTTACATTCTTGTACAGCCACTAGCATGCAATGCATTTCAGGCAGGTCCTTAATCCTATTGTTTCCAGGAATATGACCCGCCAAATCGTGTAACCATCAGGTACCCTTTCACAGCTGGGTGAACAATCAAATCCAGGCGATCATCTTGAGTTGATTTCGCAGCTTAGCGTCCCCGCGGCCCGGTCCTCAACCAGGCCTCCTTTTTGTTACACACCCCCAGGAAGCAACCCGTAGCAGCTGTCTAACTCCCAGGTACCTATTTACTGCTAGGTAACAGGGGCATCAGGGTGAAAGAAACATTTTGCCCATTTGTCTCTGCCTCCAATGGGGATCGAACCTGGAACCTCAGGACTACGAATCCGAAGCACTGTCCACCCAGCTGTCAGGCGTATAGGTACAGTACACACATGAAAAAAACTCATTATTAAAAATAGAATATATTTAATTGAATGGGAGAAAATATGAAGATCCCATGGTTCAACAGGGCACAAAGTGGTGGTGACAATATTGAGAAACACCAAGATAGGAACTGACTTTAATATTAGATCTGATAAAGTCATTACAGGCAAAAATGTCTTCTACAATTAAAGTCTACTCTGATCGTCGTGTTTCTCTACATAGGTAAAGAATCCTGAGTGATACCTGGTTGATTCTTGCAAATCTCAGAATCCTGACTGCACTTGTAAATACTGTATGTACAAAACCTAGTGTCTTGGAATACCTATAACAAGTCTTTAACTTAAGCATTCAATAAGCCATCCATTTTAATACTAGCAGGTGAAGAGGATTCTCTTCTATCCTGTTTAATACCAGCAAGTGCAGAGGGTTCTGTTTCATCCTATTTAACCAATGTACTGTGCAACATGCCTGTAGCTGCTCGACGGATAATGTGCAACGCGTCTCCGGGATCTTATAGGTATAGTGTATGATTCAAAACTCCCGCAGCTACATGGGGTTCACGTCAGCTTCCTCAGGGCTCTTGTAAATAGACACAATTTTTTTTTTAAATCGTGGGCAACATTCCTGGGTGTAAGAGCCTCAGTACTGAGTGAGCAACCAAGGCTGGTGCACGCAGTATGAGCTCACAGCACTGCTGTTCAGCTTGTGACCACAGCATCGTCTAATAATGACAAAATATATATGCAACTGGTATTATTTAGCCAAGACAGTATTACAGAAGAGTCTGAGTGTGATAATGACTGTGTACACTGTTCAAATATTAGTGAATCAATGCTGTTCAAGATGTTCACAGCGCTAGCCACAGCACCACAGCACCATTTCGTCCATCTAGGATTCTTCAAATAACTTCTTATGTTCCTTTACAAAATAAACCTGTGGACAATTATTCATTTACAGGATTTAGTGACCAGGATTGTGATAATAGCAGGTTTGTGGTGATAATTAGCATTGTGCGTTGTATTGTGGGAGGAGGGATTTTGGTGAGGGAGGGAGGGAAAGAATCAAGGTGCCTCACTGTGTGTGTGGCAGCCACTCTTGTTTTGCTCACCATAGTGGTTCGCTATGGTGAACACAAATGTAGATACTTATATATAACGTGTGTATATAGTGTAATAACAGCAACAGGAGTATGTTGGGAGGAGTCATTTCGGTGAGGGATTCGGTGTCGTACTCGTAGCGTCGTCTGCTGTGTGACTTGTCATGCAGTGTATGGTGGCCAATGTGCTGTTTGGACACAATAGCAGCTTAGTTGTATAGTTATGGTGAATAAAACATGTAGATACTTATACATAACGTGTGTAAATAGGGTAATAAAAACAATAACAGTAAGGTAGGAGGAGGAATGTTGGCGAGTAAGGTGTTGGAGGAGTGAGGGAAGACTGGCTGGGTGTGGCAGCTCACTTTTGTTTTTTTGGGCTCACCATACCAACTTAGTGGTTCCTTATGGTGAACACATATGTAGATGGGTATGTACAATGTGTGTATATAGTGTAATAACAGCAAAAACACTGTTCGATTGATCATAGAATATTTTATATATATATATATATATATATATATATATATATATATATATATATATATATATATATATATATATATATATATTATATATATATATATAATTATGGAACATTGCCCCATAATTTTGAGCATAGCAATGTTCCACACTTTGAACTTTACAAATTTCACAAATTACACACTTTTGAATAATATTACAGCAAAAAACCAGCGAAGAAACGAATGAGAAACATCAAAATATTTGTGAAACTTTATATTCGTGGCAACTGCCGCCCCACGAGGTGGCGGAGCTGACTGACCCCAGCACTCCATCGCTCAGCGCCCATAATTTGCTCAACTTCCCTACTCCATCAGTTAAAGTATGTCACATACAATATATTTTTTTAGTTTCCAGTGATCAGAGACTGTATTTTAACAATATTAGAACAGAAATTTTTTTTTGCCAAGAATTTATTTCCTGCACACAGGGGGGAGGATGCCATATTTGGAGCTCGAGCAGCACAGTGGTTAATACTAGGAAGTGCAGAGTACTCCCTTCTATCCTGTTTAATACTAGCAAGTTCAGAGGGTTTTTCTCCATCCTATTTAATACTGTACTACCAAGTCTAAATGATCCTCTTAAACTAATCATTTATTTATTTTACAACAAACTGAGGTATATACTGTACCATAGCATGCTCCAACTTAGCCTGGGATGTTTTTAATCTTTTGGTAGTGTCCTCCAGCCGGCTGTTGAGACTGTCCAGGGTTCTCTTTCGTGTACTGAGAGCTTTGCTGAGTAACAAAAAAAAGAAAGAAATTATTTGTGGATTCTTGCTATTAATATAAAGAAACATAACAAAAATAGAGAACATACTATGCCTTATAAAACTAAAATTTAGATCAAAATCTCTGAACTTTCTTAAATGTCCAAGTGTTGAATTAGTGAGATGCCTCTTACTAGATGATCCCAGTGGATCCCTGAAGCTATCTTCCTGAGATTGCTTCATATTAAAGGGTCACATCAGTTGTGAAAGTTGTGTCTCACCTACTGAGGACCAGAGCCAGAACCTGGCCTCCCTCACAGTGATACAGGGAGCAGGCAACAATCCACCAGAAAAGCCTCCAAAAGGTCAGTGAAACTTTAAGGATAACTGGAAGGTTCACATCAAATAAAGCCTCAAAACTGCCAAAACAACTCCACAAGTGATTTACAAAGAAAGAGAGATTCACTCAAACTGAGAACTTGTCAGTACCAATTACCAGCAGCAGGCAGCCATCTTCTGTGCTCAGTCCTGGAGTAGATAATGAACAATGATGAACCAACAAACCTGGAGGGAGGAACGGAGGGAGTCGGCAAGCACCGCGGCTCCTCCAGAATGAGGCATTTCATTACATTCACTGCTAAGTTTCTGGAGGGAGCTCCCCCGCAGTGTCTCTCTGTAGCTTACTAATCAGAGAGAACAAAATGGGACTTACTAGGAAGGGAAGGTGGTGACAGGCACAAAGATGAAGAAAAGAACCTAGCTGAGAGATGGCACAAAGCTGCACATAACTGACTGAGGCCAGGAACATGGACTCAATACTGGGCTGCCAGAACCCTGTTAAAAAGACAAAACCCTTGAGCCTGAATATTAGCCCAGTGTATGTCAGAGAAGATGGCAGCCAGAGCTGTACAAATGCGAACATCATGGGCCTGAGGGTAGACGGCAGGTTGGCTAGACTTAATGACACTGTAGATAACCCAGGAAATGCAAGCCTTGAAACAGGGAACCAAAGAAACCAAGCCAACCAACAAGGTCTCCAACAGACAGAACTGGTGGCACACAGGTAGCACCAAAGTGCTGCCACTGGAAACAACAATTGATGTACCCCTTGCTGAACCAACACAGCATCAATCATCAAAGGACCTGTCTGGAAGCCTATCAAATAATTTTTTGGAAGAAAAAAGGGCTTCAAAGGCTTCCTTCAAAAAAAAAGAAGAAAAGGGTTGTAAACAAACAAATCACCTGCCTGAACCACAGGAACAGAAATATCCCTTCCCCCCCACACTGACCTCCAGAGAGGAGCCTGAAGCACCCCAACCCTACAACTAGAGGCAAGAGCCAACAAGAAGATAGCCTTAAGGACAATATCACAAGCTGAAGGGGAAACTATGAACCAAGACGAAGAGAGAAAAATCACAACCCTGGTCAAGGGACCAGTACAACTCAGGAGGAGCCATACTGGTCCCATGACAAAAATGAAAAAGAACAGATCTGACCAAAACCAAAGAAAGACGATGAAGAGAAAAGTAGAGGCAAAACGACCACCAGGCAACTTCATACTGCTTCCAAGAAGTTAAGATGCCAACAAATCAGGCAACTCCTCACCATAAAATGGTGATAGATTCTTGTCTAAAACTCCACATTTGTAAAGCAGAGAACATTGAACTAGCAAAGTATGTCACTAGCCCATTTGTTAAAAAGAGAGGCAGAGCTGAAGAAAAATACCCAGGTATGAACACCAGGCCAGAAGTGCTGAAAAATAAGGCTGAACCGGCTACCAAGTACAATAGTCAGAAGGATCACCCTTCCCAAGTATGATTCCAGTTTGGGCAACACCCATAGAAACCACCAACCCAGGGAAGAGGTAGATGCACCCCAACCCCAATCAGTTTAGTCGAAAAGCATTCATCATGAGGGCCTCCTGATTGGGAAGTGCAGCCACATACTGTACTAAGATAGATGATAGCTCCCACACTGATGCAAAGAGGTCCACCTCAAGGCAAACAAGCGTATTGCAAAGACAAAGTCCACTCTGTGGAAATGATGGAAAGAAAGCAAGATAACCTGTCTGCAAGAACATTGGACACAACTTCCACATGAACCGAGTGGGAAGAAGCAGTCTTCTGGCTCCGAGAAGCCAGAAGACAAGCTGCACGAAGTGATCAACACTACATGGGGCAGGGACTCAAGCGACCCCACTCAGTTCAGGCAACAAATCACAAGGGTACAATTAGACTGGAGTTAGGGCATGGAGTCTGGCAGAAACCAACCATCTGCAGGGCATCCCACACAGCCACAAACTCATGCACCACCTTGTGAGCCTGAAGTAACAGATCTAACTACCAACCTAGATGGCTTGGCGAGCCCTAGTCACAAAGCCCCAGCCCAGAGGCAAGTCATCCAGGAACACATCAAGCAATGGTAAAGGATAGCACCACAGAGCCAAACCTTGAAAAGACCAGAGGAAGCCAGAGAAACACTGACAGAGTGGGAGGGGATGCAGTCTACCCATGCCATCACTCCTGTTCCCAGGAGTGATGGCATGGGTAGAACCTACAACACCTGGAATCAAACACTACCCAGTGGCAATCCACATAGGCCATTTTCAGGCTCCCAGACAACTGTTCAACCAATAGATGAGCTACCCGGGGCTGATCCAACACCTGACAGCGACGAAGCTACTGGTCGAGCACAGCTGATGGAGGTACTGTAGAGACTGACTGAAGAGTCCCACATGAAAGTCAAAGCTTAGCAAAGTCCAAACCTGTGATGGAACTAAATGGGACTTCTACCAGTTCACCAGGAACCTGAACCTGGCAAGTTGGGAAAGAACCAGATTCCTGGCCAGCTGACACAGAGATCGATGGGGGAACTCAAAAAGCCAGTTGTTGAGGCAGGCCAACACACAAACCCCTAAGAGACATAGCTGGACCACAAGGGTCTGTGTTAACCTGGAAAAGTCATGAGGAGCCAAACTCAACCCAAAAAGAAGAACCCCTGAAGCAGTAAGCCTGACATCTCACTATTAAATCCAACAAGTCTGAGAACCCTGAAGGAATATGGGCATGCCAATATGCATCTTTGAGGACCAGGGACATCATCCAAGCACCTGCCTTTAATAGCAGGTGATCCTGAGCTAAGGTGATACAAAACATCAGACAGTGAATGAAGCTGTTCAAACCCAACATATCAAGGATGCACCGAAGGTCCACAGAGTCATGCTTCAGGACTAGAAGCAACCAAGACACCCACTGAAGGGATAATGTCATCTCGATCAAACCCGAGTTCAACCAAACTGTAATGACCCAACACAAAGCTTGAGAGGAATCCTGATCTGAAAAGCCCACGAATCATGGGACCAGGAGCTGGCAGTGTCAAAGGGATAAACTGGGCAAAGGCTGGCATAAACCATGAGAACAACCATCCTTCCCAAACGTGTAGAAGAGGAACTTCCAGCAGGAGGAACAACAGTCTAGAAATCAGACTCCTCCAAGGATCTACCTTAACGAATACCAGGCAAGGGCCCAACCTGACCAGACCACCTCTAATGTGTGGGGGCAGAACCCTGGAAACACTACTGGCTGATTGGCCAACAGGAAAATGCTGTAGCTGACAAAACCTGGGAGACAGTCTCATCAGGAAAGAGGAGCAGGGAGAAAGGGGAGACAGGCAAAAGGGAAAAGGAATTAACCAAATCTAAAGACCAGTCAACATGATCTGTCAACACGCAAGGCATACCAAGTAAAATGCCACCAATGTCTTCAGGAGAGGAGAGGAGTGGTATATCGAGCGATATTGTCAAAACTGAAACTGCAGGCTCCAAGGCCTCCACACCTGGGGTGGAACTAAGAGAAGCAACATACTCATGAAGTTGCCCAGACAGCCCCTCATTCCATGAGAGCCCAAACATGCAAGATCGCTGACAAGTGCATAAACACCCAGTGGTCATCTGCAACAACTGCTCCAGATAGCACAGCTAGATGCACATGGACCGGTCACTTGCCCATGTCCTTGGGTAGTGCCAGAACAATCAGGCAGTCCTCAAGTTGAGCATAAGAAGTGCCACCCAGAAACACCTAAAAGATGGAACCCACTTCCTGCCACTCAAGCACATAGGTCTGACCAAACGCTTGCCAAGCCCACCAAGGAAAAAGAAAGAAATGTCCTGCCAGGATGAAACTGAATCTTCACACTGCAGCCAAGATGCTTGAGGCAGACTCCAAAGAGGATAAGTGTATCAAAGAAGTTAGAACTCTGCAGGACCAAATGAAATAGGTCTTTGCAATTTACTGAAGGCAAAACATGGGAAGACAGAACCTCTGTAAATATGACAACTCCATGGCACCAAACGAGACCTGGAATCAAAACCTGGAGTTTTATTCACTCTTTCTTTGGATAAAAAGCAATTATTTTACAAATTTAAACAAAGCTCCATTTAAACTCACCTTGGAAAGGCCCAGAAGTATACACAGGTGCCAATTTTATCAGTGTCTACCATAGCATCATCCACCAATGACTGGACAATATCTTTCACTGCTTGAGAAATAACTCCCTTCTCCTTTGGTGCAATCTTTTCCAGTTCCTGAGATGTCAACAGAGGCATGTTAAACAATGCTGTAATCAGAAACATTACACAGTTATGATAAGAGTATTTTTGATGAACACTACAGTATGGAACTTTTTGATTGAATATTGTAATTGAAACAGGAATAATAAAATGGAAAGCAAGAAACATATTACTTTACGTGTAATTATTACCACATTTTAGGAAATAACAAACAGCTTCTGGGTAAAATCAGTGAAAGTATTAATAACCCACTATACACACTAACCCCACTCAAGCTCTTCAACTAAACTGACAGTCAAGAATGAATTTCTCCACCAATTTCTTAATACAAAGACATAGGTATATGTAATTACAGTAGTGCCTTCAGTTAAATTCAGGCAAAATAGTTTCTGGTGTTTTTTTTTGTGTGTTTAAATTGATCTCTGATCCCCAAGCTCCACTCACCCTGTAGAGAGTGGGACTAGAGATTCTGGTCTTGGTTCCAGGTAGGCTCACCTGGTACTCGGACACCTGGTGTGATTCCCTACGGCATGTTTCCCCAATGCTATTGGATCTATTGGCCCCTCAATACCTTGGCAAACTATTCAGGGCACCCTCTCAGAAACAGAAGTGAAAGCACCTTGTCAATGGTGAGATACATCCCATGACCTTGCTCTTGTTTTGATAAAAATCTCCAAAATGCATTTTTTTTATAAAAGGCTTCATTTAATTTACAAATATACAAGCTGATGTACAGTGATATATTAATATATTTGCTAATGTATAATATAAAAGTTAAAATTAATTATTTAAAAGTTTGTAAAATGGAAAACATAACACTCTTGTAATGCACCCATTAGGATTTTTTCTATATTATTGCAATGCTTTAAAGAGCTGTAAAATACTCCATTACCTTGAGCTGGAAAAAATCTTTTCTCTCATAGAACAGCTCCATCATCTTCTGTCGCTTCTCCTCATGGCTCAAGCCCTTGCGGCGGGACATCTTGGTACAGTATTTCTCTCTCAGGCTGTAATGATCACAAAAATGTACAAAATTAACCATTCATATAAAAATAAAATTAAGTGAATCAGCACATTTTTGTTTTTGTTTACACAAGTGAGTACATGAACAGACAATTACTGACTCCTGTTAGCAGGTCGAGAGCTTTCCCTTCCCATAGCTCATGGCAAGTCTTACCCACTAGTTTTCCTTGTAACACAACCAACCAATTGGTTAACAACCAGGTACCCATTTACTGCTGGGTGAACTGAGGGATGGACAATACTCCCTGGTCAATTCTCAAAGAGACACTACGCTCGCAAGGTGCAGGGCGAGTGCATTGCCACTGTGCTACCAGGGACAGTTGTGTGTGTATCATTATGTGTGCTTATCTTAAGGGGCTATTAATATCTTTATATGTAAGTGTGCTTATCATTAAGAGCATACAGATGCAACACTTAATTACTGAACAGTACAGTATTTGTTTTTGAGAAAGAGGAAGGGAGAATAAAGGTAAGAGAGCTGCAAAGAGGGGATTAGCAGACAGAATTTACCTGAATTTACCCGAGGGACACTATCTCACAGGTGGCCTTAGACAAAGACAGAACGTCTGTGGGTTGTCAAAAATCACCCAATTGTTCTGATTGTTTTATTGAGTTGCAATTTAAAATTCAGTCTTTTAGCATTTACAGCTTCAGCAGTTAAGTGGTTCCATGGGTTCACACTTTTTCACCCTTTTGGGTGAAAAAACATCTGTTTTCTGTCTTACATTCTGGCTTGTTGAGCTTGAAACCATTGCTCCTTGTTTGTGTTACATCTGACCTTTAAAAGAAGCTGTCCAGGTCAATATCCTCCAAACTGTTCAGTATTTTAAAAGTTTCAAAGAGATCCGTCCTGTCATGTTTGGTTTGCAGTGTTGTTAGCCCTGTGGCCATTAACTGTTCCTGGTATGAGAGTCATCATAGTTCTGAAATGATTTTTGTTCCCCAAAGTTGGACTTTCAACAGAGCAGCTATGTCTCTCCAAAGGTTTCATCTCCAAGTGGGGGGCACACCAGAGATTTATACAGTTGAATAACTACCTTCTTTTCCTTAAGTCAAATGTTTGCTTTATTATTCCAAGGGTTTGGTTAGCCTCTTTTTACTGTAGGTCCCACTTATGCAACTTTCAGTAAATGATGGATTCTGACTACAAGGTCCATTTTTTTATCAATCTGCTCTAAGGTAATACTGTAAATTTGATAGTTGTAATGTGGATTGTTATGCTCCACATGCATGGTCTTGCATTTATCAATATTAAAAAGCATTTGCCAGTCTGTTTTTGGACATTTGTGCCATTCATGTGTTGTAATGCCACATTCATGTGGCATTCATCTCTTTATTAGACCTCACCTCAATCTCATTTTCACGTCCCATAAATCACCATAAATCGTTTATGGTGATTAGTCCCATAAATAGTCCCATAAATCGTTTACCATAAATCTTAGTGTCATCTGCGTATCTGATAATGTGGTTTGTAAGCATATCAGAAAATTTAACAGAAAATTTGGTTAAAAGTGCCAGATTTCCAAAAAGCTGATTTTAATGAACTAAGGAATTTTTTGGGTGAAATAGATTGGAGTCCTGGGCATTGCGGATAGGGCGGTCTTGTAGCAAGACGTGAACATAGAGATGGGCAACATATAAAGGAATTTCCATTCGATTCAAAATACTGTATAACTTATTTAAAAATATTTTAAGCAAAGGACAGGAACGTAGTATACAATACAATTTGAATAGATAGAATAATAATGACCCAAAATGGATAGCACAGGATCTGAAGAACCTTACAGGTAGAAAGAGAGCTTTGTACAAAAGGATTAAGATTGGGGAAGTCAGTTTAGAACAAGAATTCGTCTAACTGGTTAGAAAGGAAAAAAAAAAAAAAAGAGAGAGAGATAAAGAGGGCAAAAAGAAACTATGAAGTACGCATAACAGGGCAGGCAAAGACAAATCCTAAAGGGATTTTTCAGTTATATCGAACAAAGATTAGGGAAAGGATAGGTCCATTAAAAACTTAGACAGGTTAGATAACTGATAATGACAAAGAGATGAGTAGCATGTTTAATAAATATTTTATCTCTGTATTTACTAAAGTGGAACTTAACATTATGCCTTTGGCCGAACAAGTCTATGTTGGTGGGGAAGAGGGCAGGTTGACTAGTTTAGCAGTTACCAGGGATGATGTTATTAAACAAATAGTGAAACTCAAGCCAAACAAATCCCCACTGCCGGACGAAGCGTTTGCCAGGGTGCTTAAACAATGCAAAGAGGAGCTTTGTGATCCATTGTCTACCATATTTAATAAATCATTAGAGTCAGGCAGAGTGCCAGAGTCGTGGAAGGTTGAACAAATTTGCTATCATTTTATTCCAGCATGGTTGAAGCGGTTGATGGTGGTAAGGTTTGTGATGTTGTGTACCTTGACTTTAGCAAAGCTTTTGGTACAGTGCCACATGAAAGACTGATTTAAAAGATAGAGACTCATGGTATTGAGGGTGCTATATTAAGTAGGATTAGGGCATGGCTACACCAAAAGAAACAGAGTTAGTATAAATGGGGTTAAGTCAGAGTGGGAAAATGTTGTAAATGGAGTGCCTCAAGGCTCTGTCCTGGGACCTCTGTTATTCGTAATATATATAAATAATTTACATTCAGGTTTGAGCAGCAATATTTGCAAATTTGCAGATGATACAAAAATCGGGAGGGAAATAAACACGGAAAAACACTCACTATCACTTCAAGATGATCAAAATAGAGTTTTGAAATGGTCAAAAGATTGGCAGATGCAGTTTAATGCTGGCAAATGTAAGGTTTTGAGGCTAGGTAATGAGGATAGAGTTACAAGATACGAGCTAGATGGTGTTGAGATTGCGAAGTCGGATTACGAAAGGGATCTGGGAGTTATGTTGAGTAAGAATTTAAAACCAAAAGATCAATGCATAAATGTTTGTAATACAGCAAATAGGACACTGGGATTTATTAATCGAAGCATTAGTAACAAGACACCTGGTGTTGTTCTTCAGCTATATCTTGCTTTAGTTAGGCCCCACTTAGATTATGCAGTTCAGTTTTGGTCGCCGTACTATAGAATGGATATAAATTTACTTGAGTGTGTCCAGCGTATGATGACAAAGTTAATGTCCCAAATTAGAAACCTGTCATATGAAGAAAGATTAACAAAGATTAAATTGCATTCACTGGAAAGACGAAGAGTTAGGGGGTGACATGCTAGAGGTTTACAAATGGATAAATGGACATAACAAAGAGGGATATTAATAGAGTATTAAAAGTATCAACATAAGACAGAACATGAAACAATGGGTATAAACTGGATAAGTTTAGATTTTGGAAAGACCTGGGTAAATACTGGTTCGGTAACAGAGTTGTTGAGGTGTGGAAAAGGTTGCCACATGGCGTGGTGGAGGTGGGGTCCCTTGATTGTTTCAAGCATGGGTTGGACATGTATATGAGTGGGATTGGGTGGTTATAAATAGGAGCTGCCTCATATGAGCCAATAGTCCTTCTGCAGTTACCTTCATTCTTATGTTCTCAAGGTGCTATAGGCTTTTTGTCTCCATTGTAAGGAGGTGGCGCAGCAAGGTACTTAAAGCAGGGGCCAGGTTAAAAGATTCAATATATTTCGAGCTCCACCCAGGGCAACACCTTCAAACCAGACTACTTTTTTATGCACAAGACAGCCCGTCCTTCAAACAAAGACCCAAAAGTGATTCCATGCACCCGCCAAACCCCCTGTTTATGAATGAAAAACGGTTTACACACGACTCACAACTGATTTCGTTCAATCACTTCCGGAACAAGTGCTTCACTGACGAATTTCGTTCTAACCACAATGCTATAAATGCTTCACCCACGTACTACAAATACAAATAATCGGCAACAGAACCTAAATACCTAACCTAACCTGTGCCTATATATGCACAATATGCTAATATATTATAATATTAATTTATATTTGAGAAAATTCCTGTTTTGAATGAACAGCATGTTAAAATTTATGAATGCGTCTGTGGGGTCGACCGCTGGATGTAATGAACTGGAGTCGAGGGCAGGTTGCTCATACTATAAATATAAATACGCCAACAGAACTTAAACACCTAACCTAACCAGTGCCTAAATATGTACAATATGCTAAAATAAAATAATATTAATTTATATTTTATAAAATTCCTGTTTTGAATGAACAGTATGTTAAAGTTAATGAACTCATCTTTGGGGTCAACCGCTGGAAGACATTGACTTGATCCGAGGACGGGTTGCAGCCCAAGTGGTTAATGAATAAATGATCCCGGGCCCACTCACTTGTCGTGGGCGGTCAAGACACTCACTCCTGGCCACTATGCTCTCCCTCCTCCCTGGTGCCCGTCCAGCGTACAGGCACAACTTTATTTTTTATGTTTCAACTTATATATGCTTGCCACGACTTCTTATAATTTGGATCTTTGTACGCATGTATTCACATTAATCATGCATAATCTTTCAATGTTTCTGTGTACATGTAGCTTGTCTCGGCATTTATATATGTAACGTAATGTTAGACACTTATGTAAGTGGGTAATTATAGCTAATTAGTAATGTTAATTATTTAGGATTACTTGTGCATAGGCGATATGCATCCTTCGTTACTACTGTTAGGTGCACCACATATAATTTTGCGATAAATTCTCTAACCTTGTATACTTTATTTACGTACTACTATATGTTCGGGTGCATTTGCCCCCTACATACGTAGAATAGGTATACAAGTATAGTTATTGAGGTCACTTAACAAGTATCCCTGCACATGCACACCATGGGCTGCAACTCGCAGTCGCAAATTACTACCAACTGCAGTTGCAAGAAATTCCATGCAACTTGCAGTTGCAAATATTTTATTAATATACAAAGCAATGCGAAAATTCTATCGCCTGGTTGATGGGGTTCTGGGAGTTCTTCTACTCCCCAAGCCCGGCCCGAGGCCAGGCTTGACTTGTGAGAGTTTGGTCCACCAGGCTGTTGCTTGGAGCGGCCCGCAGGCCCACATACCCACCACAGCCCGGTTGGTCCGGCACTCCTTGGAGGAATAAATCTAGTTTCCTCTTGAAGATGTCCACGGTTGTTCCGGCAATATTTCTTATGCTTGCTGGGAGGACGTTGAACAACGGTGGACCTCTGATGTTTATACAGTGTTCTCTGATTGTGCCTATGGCACCTCTGCTCTTCACTGGTTCTATCCTGCATTTTCTTCTATATCGTTCACTCCAGTATATGGTGTTTGTTTCACCCGCACGTCCAAAAATGATGAATGATTCCCTCCCTCACGATTTTCTCCATGAACATGCAGATGGGAGAAGTTAAACTAATTGGACGGTAGTTTTCTGCCTTTTTATATTTTTTAATAGGGGGTGACATATGTATACCGTATTTCCAATCTTAGTATAACTATACTTTGGTCCAGAGGTTTTCTGAAATGAGCTTCAAAGGTAGGCATATTTCATTTACCAGTTATTTACGATTTTGGATTGAATTCCATCCACACCTGAGGCTTTTGAGCCTTAGTTTGTCACTGCTCTTCCTGATTATGTCGCACGTTATGGATATATCCCATAATTCGTTCTCTTCCCTTCCTTCAAATGTGTGTGTGGGTAATGGGATGTTAACCTCAGTAATGTGAACACTTCTGTAAAATATTCAATCCGAGAGTTTGCTGTCCGTTTATCGTCGATTATAACTTGGTTATTCTCATCTTGTAAGGGTTCAACCGAATCTTTTGTTTTGGTTTTATTTCTTATGCATGGAATGACTTAGGATACTTCTTTATGTTATGGGCAAGTTTTGTTTCGTGGTTTCTTTTGGCTGATCTGATTTCATGGGTGGCTGAATTTAATGCCCTTCTACATACCGTATCTCATAATATGTTATTCATAGCGGAGTTATACCTTCTCCAGAGGTTCCGCTTAGTTATTAAATCTTGTTTTACTTCCTGTGTAATCCATCTAATTCCCCTTTTATTCTTTCTCCTTAGTATATGTTTTTTAAACGAATTCTGTGATGACCTCTCTGAAAATTTCCCATGATGCTTCCATACCATCACTAGTAAGTTCCCCGCAGGTGGTGTTTTCGTTAATTCTGATTTGCAAAAACGGTTCTCATGTTGGCCGACCTAGCATACATATACGGCTGATGATATCCGTGTGATGAGAGATGAGAGACAAACAGTTCCCTGTGATCTCCCAGGATCTCAACTCCCAGGTCTTTCTCTCTTTTTTTTAATTATATAAATATTTGATCTGTTTGGTATCTAGCCTCCTGTATCCAGTACCCAAATTCCTTACATTGCACTTGCACGAGTCTACTCCACTTGCCACCCGCCTACTCCACCCGCCGCCCACGCTATAACCCGCTGTTAACTCTAAGGAACACCGCTCACCACATACGCCAAGTGTTTGGTTCGATCAAGTGTGATGGGCGGCCTGCAGGTGTGATCATCCACACCCACATGTGTACACTCTCCACCTACAGCACGTTGTCCCGCTCCCTGTCTGTGTGTAGGGGAGGTTGTCACGCTCCCTGTCTGTGTGTAGGGGAGGTTGTCACGCTCCCTGTGTGTGTGTAGGGGACGTTGTCACGGTCCCTGTGTGAGTGTAGGGGACGTTGTCACGGTACCGTCTGTGTGTAGGGGACGTTGTCACGCTCCCTGTGTGTAATGGAGGTTGTCACGCTTCCTGTGTGTGTGTAGGGGAGGTTGTCGCGGTCCCTGTGTGAGTGTAGGGGAGGTTGTCACGCTCCCTGTGTGAGTGTAGGGGACGTTGTCACGGTACCGTCTGTGTGTAGGGGAGGTTGTCACGCTCCCTGTGTGTAATGGAGGTTGTCACGCTCCCTGTGTGTAATGGAGGTTGTCACGCTTCCTGTGTGAGTGTAGGGGACGTTGTCACGCTCCCTGTGTGTGTGTAGGGGACGTTGTCACGCTCCCTGTGTGTGTGTGTAGGGGAGGTTGTCACGCTCCCTGTGTGTGTGTAGGGGACGTTGTCACGCTCCCTGTGTGTGTGTGTAGGGGAGGTTGTCACGCTCCCTGTGTGTGTGTAGGGGACGTTGTCACGCTCCCTGTCTGTGTGTAGGGGACGTTGTCACGGTCCCTGTCTGAGTGTAGGGGATCAATGCAGCCACAGTACTAGGTGAGGTGCCGCCTGCCACGTGCCGCTCACCTGGAGCTGCCCGCCCATTGGCCGCCCAGCAGCTGAGACGTCACTCGCGCCGCCCGCCTGGCTGTGTGGCGGCGGCGGCGGCACCTGACACCTCACGTTGCTTAGATACCAGTCTCCCACTGTAAACACAACACGTGTGCCACTCATAATGTTTAAATAGTGAGCATATTGATCGTCCACATTGTTAAATGTGATACAAATGTAAAGTCGCTGTATTTGAGCGCGTCGTGAACACCAGCGGTATGAAAACGCTGCTCAAATATCACAACACGATCACGTAACACAATACCACCAATGAAAACATTAGCCTCAATCAGCACAGTCTTCGTTTGTTTAACTCCCTTGAGGGACATCACGACTTAAAATACTTTAATATGATATAACCCAACTCTAGAAACGTGTGTGGTGATGGGTCCACATTGTGGAGTGAGAGTGTACTTGTCCCTCCCTCCACACACCTCCCTGCCTGGGTCCTCACCTCTCACCCAGCTGTGGTGGGCCTCCCCCCCCCTCTCACCGCACATGCTACACTCACTATAGTCGCCCTCGCACTCTCTTCCACACACTCCCTGCCGCCTCCACCTCCACGCTCCACGCAGTGTTGGCGATAACCCGCGCCTGGCTCACACTGGCGCACAGTGGGAGGCGAGCAACAAGTCATTAGTGTGCGGGAGTGTGTCGCGGGATACTCTTCGCGGTGTACACACGTTGGTAGTGGGGGGCGTGGGGGTTGTTGCCGTGGGGGTTGAAGGCGTGGGCCATCATGTCGACCTCCTCGCGCAAGAGAGGTCAAGTAGGCAGCGTCAACGCAAAATCCAACAAGGCGCAACAGAGTAAGCAGAAGAAGGCGTCGGTGCCCCAGCAGGACAGCCAGGAGGGCCACACACAGGCGGAGTCAGACAAGGAGAGTGTGACCCACCTGGGGCTCCTCCAGGCTATATGCAGACTCTTCACCATCTTCATTAAGGGCTTCGCTGCCCTGGTGCTCTTCGCCCTCATCTTCAACTTGGTGCTGGTGGTGCTCAACAAGACAGTCTTCAGCGGTAAACTCACCCAGTATATCCCAGCCAAGAACTGGCGGGACATCCTCGGACACTAGCCTAAACCACCCGCCCGCCCGCCCACCTACCCACACTCCCACTGTATAAAATCTACAATGAACTCCTCTCTAAACCCCCAACCATAACCCCCGCCCCTCCCGACCGTTCTCAAGCCCCAGGATAACCAACCCCGAACACTGCACTCAACACGAGAGACGTAATAACTTCACACATCCAGGTATATCAAGGACAACATTAGCCAGGATCAAGGCTGCAACTGAAGTAAAAACAAAGGGAGGTGAAGGACACATAGAGGCACCGCATGTTCCCGTAGGAAAGTTAGGCTGACGTTTTGAGGAGGGACCGTAAACCCCGCTGACTGATAAGGCGCCAGTAGGTGAGCACACTCTGACTACTGCATGAGGGAGGTGGTGTGGCGCGTCACATCCCTCACACACTCAACTCCACATCCTCTCTTACTCCCAACAACACATTCTCCACTCCAGTCACCTAAGCAACAAACAAATAATGGGTAAATGTGTTTACAATCACAAAAACAAAGTTTAGTAGTGAACACTTCGTGTCTAATAAACGTATATATATATATATATATATATATATATATATATATATATATATATATATATATATATATATATATATATATATATATATATAAAATATATAAATAACTATATAACAAACAAGAATTGAACCCCCAGAGAGAAATATGAGCAAATGAGGAGGTGAATGATTCATGGTAGCCATTGCCAACGAAGCACTGATGGAGTGGAGGTGGGAGACGGAAGTGGTATAGGCTGAAGACGGCTAGGCAGGCAGGAGCCAGAGGCGCCGGAGGACAAGGGCTGGCCACACCCTGGAGGACGACGAGGAGGACCCGCCTGCTGCAGGAGTGGCCGGGATGGGTCGTGCAACATGGCGTCTGGTGTGTGTGGTGGTGCTGGTCGCGGTGGTCTCCATCAACGTCCTGGTCTTCCTCTCCTCCGCCGACATCAACCCCATGACACAAGGTGAGGCTCACACTCATCACACTACCACACACTGATCACACACTACAACACACTGATCACACACTACCACACACTGATCACACTACCACACACTGATCACACACTACCACACACTGATCACACACTACCACACACTGATCACACACTACCACACACTGATCACACACTGATCACTACCTCGCGTGGGGGCGAGGTAGGCCACGTGGAGGGCGAGGTAGGCCACGTGGAGGGCGAGGTAGGCCACGTGGAGGGCGAGGTAGGCCACGTGGAGGGCGAGGTAGGCCACGTGGAGGGCGAGGTAGGCCACGTGGAGGGCGAGGTAGGCCACGTGGAGGGCGAGGTAGGCCACGTGGAGGGCGAGGTAGGCCACGTGGAGGGCGAGGTAGACCATAGATTATCTGCTGGACTACCCACAGTAGCCGCGGGGAAGATGACAACATGCACTCCACAGCAAATCTAAATAATTCACAGACACAAATGTCACCAGATAAAGGCCAAGACCTAACCTCATAGTTCGGGATTTCTTCTCCAAGTTGAACCAGCCCGTCCTCCTAAGGTCTCCCAGCGGCATGAAAACGATCAATATAATGTCCTCTCCTAACCTACCAGAGCACCCCAAACAGAAAACGGGACAGTACGTCACTTTCGTCAGCCGCTTCCATTGTCTAGTACGACAATTGTTGGCCTTAGGTATCGCATATGAGGGAAAAGTGCCGTTCTTTGTAGGCCAGGTTGTAGGAGGACAGGTTGAGCTAAACAGCCCCTCATCCCCGTGGGGCAAAACACCTTATGCTTCAAAGATGAAATCTTTCTAAAGCCTTTAATGTTGAATGGCATTACCTGAGAGACCAACCAACCAATCACAACGTGCTAGGACCGGCTGAGAGCCACACCACTAACATTACAAACTACACATGACGCGGCCCATCTCACACAGATTTTTAAAATCAACAAATTGGAAGATATTAAAACAGAAAACTTAGTACCGACGCTTTCTTTGGGGGGGACTAACGAGTATCTGTTCCTGTAGGCCAGATGGGTGGCCTAGGAGTTGACGCTTTTAGGCTAATTCACTATATTGTTACGGAGGGAAAACAACAGAACGTTCATCTTATGGAATGATAAGAAAAATCCTGTACAACGGAGGACGACCACAAACAACTAGGGGAAGATGAGGAAGTAAAATCGAATTATTTATTACCAAAGACATCAGTTTATTATCAAATGTAAGACCCCCCAAACGTTTCGAACTGCGCAGACATATCCACCCCTCCCCCCCCCCCCACCCTCCCAGCCACTACCCCCATTTATCTGTATTGATCTTCTCAGTCATTGATCATGACCAGTGAACGAGTTTGACCATCCTTGACCTACACGGTGTACATGCCTTGACCTACACGGTGTACACGCCTTGACCTACACGGTGTACACGCCTTGACCTACACGGTGTACACGCCTTGACCTACACGGTGTACACACCTTGACCTACACGGTGTACACGCCTTGACCTACACGGTGTACACGCCTTGACCTACACGGTGTACACGCCTTGACCTACACGGTGTACACACCTTGACCTACACGGTGTACACGCCTTGACCTACACGGTGTACACGCCTTGACCTACACGGTGTACACGCCTTGACCTACACGGTGTACACACCTTGACCTACACGGTGTACACGCCTTGACCTACACGGTGTACACGCCTTGACCTACACGGTGTACACACCTTGACCTACACGGTGTACACACCTTGACCTACACGGTGTACACACCTTGACCTACACGGTGTACACGCCTTGACCTACACATGTATATGAGTGGGATTGGGTGGTTTTAAATAGGAGCTGGCTTGTATGGGGCAATGGGCCTTCTGCAGTTACCTTTGTTCTTATGTTCTTAAGTAGGGGGTTTGGGGGGGTTCAAGGTGCAGTTGTCACAACAAAAGATGGAGTCACAGCAGCTGACGAGGTGGTCACCACCGGGGGTTTAGGGCTCAACTCTGCCACAGAAGTGGGATAGGAACGGAGAGTCAGTCGAAAGTCAACGAAGAAGCCTAGTCTGGGCCCAACGTAGACCCGGCTATGGAGCCTGATCTTGCATCACTGACTGACTTGGAAGGGGGAGGGGGGGGGGCTGGTCGCCCAACACACAAGCCTGTGTAGCTGTATATTATAATGTTGTACACTGAGGTACTCTCTAAATTTCTCAACGTGAAATTGGGCCTTGAATAACAAAAAAGGGCCAAACACACATCTCATATACACAAATGGTTTAAAATTTAGTTACATGACTGGCCACATACCCATTAACTTTGTCCGATGGTGTCCTCGAGGTCACCCATGACGGTGTATGTTAACTAGGAAGTGTCTTGGGAGTTCTTCTACTCCCATAGCCCGACCTGGAGGCAGGCTCGACTTGTGACAACCTGGTCCTTGAAGCAGCCTATAGGCCTACATATCCACTACAACCCGGTTGGTCCGGTACTTCTTGCAATAACTTATATAACTGGTTCTTGAAGAAGTCCACCTTTGGTCCGGCAATATTTCTGATGCGTGCTGGGAGAGAATTGAACAGCTGTGGACCTTTGATTTTCAGTGGTCTCTGATTGTGCTTATGGCACCTCTACACCTCCGTCACCCTTGCCGGTGTCCTCGAGATCAACCTTGACGGTGTACTCGGTCACCCTTGATGGTGTCCATATAATACTCATGACAAAACAATGCTGAATATGTTAACTATTATCATTTTATAGTGCCGCTGTTATCTGTGATGCGCTTCCTATCACCGCCCAGACATACTCTTGGACCCGAACGCTCCTGTGATCCTTGTGGCAGACGACGGTGAGGATAGACCAGAGGCGTTGCCACAGGCAGCACCGCCTGGAGCACGGCCAGGAGCACCGCCAAGAGCACGGCCAAGAACGCCCCGCCCCGCCCTTGTCAACAGCGTCCTCCTGAAGCCGGGCGCAGCGACGGACAAGTTCCTGGTGCACTCCTACGACCACGGGGGCGGTGGAGTGGCCTCTCAGGCACTCAATCTGCTCCTCGACGACATTTTCTTTCTCTACCAACCGCTCTACAAGTTGGCTGAGCAGGAACCCATCCCCGCTGTGCACCGCCTCACTCGGGATAAGGTAGGCTACACCCTCATTCTCTCCCCTTCACCTAGTCAATTGTGCATTATAGATGCACTTATAACATATTTAAACAAGAATACACTGTGCGTCATGATGATAATAATAATAATAGTATTTATAGCAAATATTAGGTTGGGTTTAGAATCATAGTAGGCAGAGTGTTTATGTTTTGATGAAGTCACTACTAACCCTGTGCTGAGTTACGGGTCATCCTTCAGATCAATACTTGCAGTGTTTAGTTGTTATTCCATTTCAGGGTAATACTTAATGCACTGAAACTATTATTGTACCTTATGTCCTGTGCTACACTGTACACGTTTATGTATAGCATGGCTACAGTCCACCAACACAACAGTGTACTCACACCAACACGACAGTCCACTAACATACACAAACACAACAATGCATCAACAAGCACAAACACAACAATGCACTAACAAGCACAAACACAACAATGCACTAACAACAGTAGTAGGCCGCCGTCGGTGGGAGACACACACGATTAGTGAGGTCCGCGGAAATTCGTCAATTTCTCGGGACATTGAAGGAGTATAGAGGCTAGATCATAGTATTTGGCCTCTCGCAGTGTGTAGCTAGCAGGGTGCAACATAGCATAGCCATATCGCTAGCGATAGTGCGAAGAAACCAAAGTGGAGCTAGTGGCATCACTGGTGCATATACAGTGTGGAGAACTGCGTGGAGCGACCTGACCTGACGGCCAAAGTGAGACGACCTGCAGTGGAACTGCCTGATTGTGTTAGTTGGGTGGTGACTGTGATCAGTGGTACAGTAAATTAGTGAACTGTAACACAACGATACAGTGACTGACTCCAGAGCTTTGTGTAGATAGAGAAGAACCGCCATCATCAATCTACTAGAACTTAGTGAATCACTCAGTGGGAGGGACGACGGATCACCATCGTCATCCATACACCGTCATTACTCATCTAGTTGTGTGTGAGCGGGAGGCTGTGTGGTAGGTAGGCTCTGGTCAATTTATCAGGTGTACAGAGATGAAATATTATCAAATTTTTGTTCAGGATATCATATATATTTAAAATCTCAAAGTGGCTCATTTTAGGTGGAGGTAAACACTTACATGAACTCGTGACACGCATGCACGCCCACGTACGTATGCACGCTCACACGCATGCACACACAAACTTTCAGTCAGGGAAGAAAGGATTAACACCTTTTACCAAAGGGAATAAGACCTTACTATACTCCACCCACTCTCTTACCCCCCATCTGACCTGATCTGACCTGGTCGCCCTCTCCGCCCCCCCCACCCCCCAGTCCCCCGCATCCCCCTTACACACCTCTCTCTCTCTCTCTCTTTCTCTCTCTCTCTCTCTCTCTCTCTCTCTCTCCCCACTCTCTCTCTCTCCTCTCTCCCTCACTCTCTCTCTCTCTCTCTCTTTCTCTCTCACCCCTCCCCACTCTCTCTCTCTCTCTCTTTCTCTCACCCCTCCCCACTCTCTCCCCCCTCTCTCCCTCTCCCTCTCCCACTCTCTCTCTCTCTCTCTCTCTCTCTCTCTCTCTCTCTCTCTCTCTCTCTCTCTCTCTCTCTCTCTCTCTCTCTCTCTCTCTCTCTCTCTCTCTCTCTCTCTCTCTCTCTCTCTCTCTCTCTCTCTCCCCACTCTGCCCTTCTGACAAATCCTATCATGGCACAACTATGAACGGGGTCAAGCATGACAGCCAGAGGTAACAGGGAAAAGTCCAGGTGACGAAATGAAGGAAATGTTCGCCCAGTTTCTGGAGGACATCAAGAGTGAGATGCAGGAAATGATGCAGGAAATAAGCAACCTAAAAAGAGAGCTGACAGCAGCAAAGGAGGAGATTAGAGCCCTCAAAGAGAAAAGTATCGATGCTGAGACTCAGATAACCACCCAGGGAGAAGGTGGTAATAGTATTTTGGAAGAGAATGCCACAATAAAGGCAACATTTGCAGAAATACTAAAAAAAAGAACTCTGAAGTAATGTCTGCAGTGATGGAGGTAGCCATGAAAGCAGCCATCTCACAGGAAGCGGCACGCTCCACTAGCCAGCTGCTGGAAAGGAAAAGATCAGTAGTAGCTGTGGGTATTAAAGAGCAGGAAGGCTCTAATAGGAAAGAGTGGAATAATAAGGACAAAGCGGCAGTGAATGAAATACTGAAGGCACTAGACATGGAAGGGGCAGAGCATAGCATTGAGAAGGTTTCCAGGCTAGGCTGGTACAAAAAAGACCGAGACCATGTGTTAAAGATAGTGTTTGCAAACGAGAACACATAGGAGATGAAAGAAAGAAAAGCCACCTGCAACATGTGGGAGAATTAAAAAAAGTATTCCTCCAAAGGGACATGACGAGGGAGGTGAGAGCCATGGCGGCAGAAGCAAGGAAGAAGCGCAAGGAGAGAGGGTAAAACCAGGAAATCACAACTCCCAACATATCACCCCCAGAGGCGAGGGGGGAACCCACAACCAGTTACCCAGTAACACCAGCGGGAAAGGCAACCCCACCACCCTCCTCTGCATAGAAAACCCCCCTACCCCAAACCCTTCCTGCCCCCACTCAAATACCCAGCCAAATCTCCCTCACCCCACCCTTCTACCCCTCCCCTCCTTGCGCCGAGGCCCCCCTTCCCCCTCTTTCCTTCCTGTCCTCTCTCCCCTTTCACCCTATACCCTCCCTGTCCCTCCCCCTTCAATTGACCCCCTCATCCCGGTATCCTCTGCAACCCTGTTATCCACCTTACAAATCCTCACACCCATGGAACAGCTTCCCCCAACAGCACAACACTCACCAAGGAGGAGATTTCAGAAGGGACAGAAGAAAGTGAGCCTCAAAGCGATGTACACTAACATAGATGGAATTACAAATAAAGCAAATGAACTTGGAGAATGAGTACTAGAGGAAAACCCAGACATAATAGCTCTCACAGAAACAAAGCTAACGAAAACCATAACAAATGCAGTGTTCCCACAGGACTATTATGTTATGAGGAAAGAGAGAGAAGGAAGAGGTGGTGGTGGTGTAGCCCTGCTGGTAAGAAAAGGCTGGGATTTTGAGGAGATGGTTGTTCAGGGATGTGAAGGTTTCAGTGACTACATAACAGGTACAATAACAACTGGGGGGCAAAAAATTATAGTCGTAGTCATATATAATCCACCACCAAATGACAGAAAACCCAGACAGGAATGTGATAGAAACAACATGCCCACTATTAACATAATAGAGCAGCTTCTGTTGCTAGCAGGAATGGATCTGGACTACTAATCATGAGAGACTTCAACCATGGGAAGATAGATTGGGAGAACAGAGACCCGCATAGAGGATCAGAAACATGGAGAGCTAAGCTGCTGGACGTGGCAACAAGAAACTTTCTAAGCCAGCACATCAAGGAACCAACAAGAATGAGAGAAGATGAACCAGCAATGCATGATTTGATATTTACCCTAAATGAGTGGGATATAAAGGAAGTCAAGATGGAAGCACCCTTGGGAATGAGTGATCACAGTGTATTGAACTTTGAGTACTTGGTAGAGCTAGGAATTATCTCCCTCAAAAAAGAAGTAGGAAACAAAAGGCTGGCATACCAAAAGGGAAATTATGAGATGAGAAGCTTCCTAAGGGAAATACTTTGGGACACAGACCTCAGAGCTAAGTCTGTTCATGATATGATGGACTATGTCACCCAAAAGTGTCAGGAGGCAGTAAGCAGATACATCCCGGCCCAAAAGGAAAAATCCGAGAAGCAAAAGAAGAATCCATGGTATAATAGGGCATTTATGGAAGCAAAGAAACTGAACAAAAGGGCGTGGAGGAACTTCTGGAATAGCAGAACACCAGAAAGCAGAGAAAGATACCAAAGAACCAGGAATGAGTAAGTCAAGGTGAGAAGAGAAGCAGAGAAAAGTTATGAAAATGATATAGCAAACAAAGCCAAGACTGAACCAAAGCTACTCCAGTCACATCAGAAGGAAAACAACAGTGAAAGAACAGGTAGTGAAACTTAGAACAGAAGAGGACAGGTATACAGAGAATGACAAAGAGGTGTGTGAAGAACTCAACAAGAGGTTCCAGGAGATCTTCACAACAGAACAAGGTGACGTCACTGTGCTAGGAAAAAGGGAAGTAAACCAGGCGGCCTTGGAAGAGTTCAAAATTACGAGAGAGGAGGTCAAGAGACACCTGCTGGATCTGGATGTTAGAAAGGCTGTTGGTCCAGACGGGATCTCGCCATGGGTACTGAAAGAGTGTGCAGAGGCACTTTGCTTGTCACTCTCCATAGTATATAGTAGGTCACTGGAGACAGAAGACCTACCAGAAATATAGAAGACGGCGAATGTGGTCCCAATATACAAAAAGGGCGACAGGCAAGAGGCACTGAACTACAGGCCAGTGTCCTTGACTTGTATACCATGTAAGGTGATGGAGAAGATCGTGAGAAAAAACCTGGTAACACATCTGGATAGAAGGAACTTCGTGACAAATCGCCAACATGGGTTCAGGGAGGGTAAATCTTGCCTGACTGGCTTAATAGAATTCTACGACCAGGTGACAAAGATTAGGCAAGAAAGAGAGGGCTGGGCGGACTGCATTTTCTTTGATTGTCGGAAAGCCTTTGACACAGTACCACATAAGAGGCTGGTACATAAGCTGGAGAGACAGGCAAGTGTAGCTGGTAAGGTTCTCCAGTGGATAAGGGAGTACCTAAGCAATAGGAAGCAGAGAGTTACAGTGAGGGGTGGGACCTCAGACTGGCGTGAAGTCACCAGTGGAGTCCCACAGGGCTCTGCACTCGGTCCTATCTTGTTTCTGATATATGTAAATGATCTCCCGGAGGGTATAGATTCATTTCTCTCAATGTTTGCTGACGATGCCAAAATTATGAGTAGGATTAAGACAGAGGAGGACAGCTTGAGGCTTCTAGAAGACCTAGACAAGCTGAAGGAATGATCGAACAAATGGTTGTTAGAGTTTAACCCTAGCAAATGTAATGTAATGAAGATAGG